CATTTTGGTACCAAAAACTTGCGAGTAACAAATTCTATACATGTAAGTTTTGGTCATAACGTTGTGACGCGCGACAATGTAGTTTTGATTATTTATCGGAATTTGTTTAACAATGTGATTTTTTCGATATTTTTTTGCACTGTCCTAGAGCAACAAAAAAGCAACAAAATCTGGTGCATTTGTTTTTTTGATATCGCAGCTCTATATAAATTTTTTCATTTCGGGGGGGGTCCAGCTTTATATTAACCTGGACCCCCCCCCATTTTTTTTTATTGCTGCTAAACGGTTGGAGCAACAAAATTCGCTCTAGAGCAACTAATTAGCAACAAAAGAGCACTAAATTTTTGACCTATCGCGAATTTGATTTTCGATGGTGGGTCCAGGTTAATGGGGGTCAAATATTTTACCGTAAATACTTAGAAATTTTGAATAGATATTTTTAAAAAACTGAGCATTTTGTTTGAGTCATTAAAAAGAGAATTTGAAATAGAAATATAACATTGAAACGTTTGTTATCAATATATACATTTTTATCGATACAATCGTTATAAATATTTACAGCTGCGCATTAGACCTTGACTATTTCTTCTCTTCTTATTGCTTGCGAGGAATTGATCTCATCTTCTGGTTATTCTCATACTTGACCAATACGAGTAGGGGAGGTAGCTGGAGCACTTTATGCACATTTGTGTTTCACGCGCGCGATGACTCATGTCCTCGGAAGCGGCGCATCGTCGTATTTCAAAGAGCAGGAAACTAAGAGGTTGGCGCATTATGAAATCGAAGATATTACGGGAGGAAGTTGTATTCCCTTTGGTATTATGGGCGCATGCTTCGCGTAGCCGCGGCGTAAAATGTCATCGTTTATGCATTGCTTAGGGTTGATATTAGCTAACTGCGACATCATCGTTGTCGTCATTTCTCGTCGATGTTTATTATACCTAAACTTATTATTTTACGTGTCGCATTGCAACTAGTCGAACGATTGTTGCCGATAAAGTTGTGCCTAACCATATTGTACTATCTAATCGATCTAACAGATTATTATGAAAGCGATCGAGTGACCGGTCGCGCCATATCGTTCAACTTATGTTCGAGCTGACGCAATTCTTATCGCGCACAATCGAGTTTTTTTTTTCTATATTGATTATGTAAATTAATCAGTCGCGAAACGTGAATGTATCGTGGGAAAATTTCTGCCACCGATTTGCTAGATAATGATGTAAAAATACAACAGATTAGCGATAGACTTAACGACAATGGAGAATGCGAGCAATTAATGAATCATTTATATGAACTTAATTGATTTTATGATAATATTTGTGTATTTCTTGAGAATAACATACATTTATTGTTATAACAGGTGATACCGGCAGATCGCCGGCCGCCGGAGAAAGAAGAGACATGGACTCTGGCTGCTGATCAGCAGGATTCGTGCGTCTGTTTTGACGGTGCCGTCGATTCTAAGGTGAAAGATGCGCACAATTCCGAGAAAACACAATTGAAACCGCCTACGGAAGTAATATCAGTGGATGCGAGCGATAACGTGGACAACACCTTGCCACGCAGCCAGGAGACCAGGAAAAGTAAGACTAAGAAAGTGAAGAGCTACCTGAAGAAGTGCAAAGGCGCGCTGTCGAAAGGTGATGAGAACGTCACAGACAAGAGACGCCAGGAGAACTGCACTTCGTGGTACTTGGACGACGTTCCAACTTGCGCGAGTCAGCAGGAGGATCATGACGAACCTCCGGAGAAGTACACGGAATTCCCCGAAGAGAGACTCGAGGAGGCGGTGGAGCCTGCCGAAGATCCCGTGCCTGAAACGCTCGAGGAGAATTTCTTGAGGGACGAGAACCTTGAGGAGACTCCGCATGAAGCTCTCACCAGACTATTGGAAGAGGATCGTAGAGCCGATCTTAGCAGAAGCAAAACGTCTTTGTACGAGGACGTCAAAGACGCAAATTCGGAACAGCCCGTCTCGGACGAGAAAACTCCAACGAAGGAATCAGAGCTTTTTCGTGATGAAGAAAAAAAAGACGCGGCGATCTCACTCGAGACATTAACGACGGAAGACACAAATCTGAATAAGTGCGATTCGAGCGATACATTGATAGCAGAAGTTCCGGAAGCAACCGAGACCGCGACAGATCTCAACTCGGAATTGACGATTATTGTGAAGGAAGAGGAGGACGCACCGAAAGATCCTGCGGACGAGGAGATACTAGTTCCTGCATGCTGTGGGGTAAGTCCGTTCAAGCATTTTGAATCGATTAATGAAATTTATTATAAAATAATATCTCAGAATGGAATAAAACTTAAAGATTTTAGTCTTTGTTTCTGATAACCAAAAAATTCGATTCTTTAAACAACATAAGCTGAGTTTCTAAGAAATCGTTCGTACGTGTATAAACTGTTAGATTTTATTCGATAAAGTGTGGAATAAATCGGACGTCGTGTTTCGCGAGAGCGTTTACGGGAGAACGATCGTCGGTATAAATCATGACGAAGAAAAATAAAGCGCCGTAAATCAAAGCGAAGGAAAACGCAAGTACGCCGTATTTCTTCCTATCCGTGGAAATTACGTTTTAATCATTACTAGTAGCGCATTAAGAGCAAGAACATAAATTACGAACAGGGAAGCCTTCCTTTGCCCATACGCGGTATATGTGTTGCAATTCGCTTTACTGCTTTGCGCGCGGTAACCATAGTTGTGGTTTGTATTCAAATGGATGGACATTGTGCGCTTCTTTTAACATACATGTGTACGTTCTTTGACGGAACCGCTAGTGTCGACGCGAGATTACGGTCATCGAACGTATACGGCTTATCGAATATCAGAAAGATTTAATATTTGCAGTTATGAAGTGTTTTGTCGTTTATCTTTATAAATATTCATGTTGACAACGATTATGAAGCAACAACTATACAACAAAATTTATTAGTGAGAGATATTTATTACGCAGATGTTTGTCACAAGATGATTTGCATTATTTACTTTACATTTAGGCTTTCTCGTGTTAATTTCAGATATTTTTTATAATTCTTTTTTCTTTATTATTTTTGGCTCTGTTTTATCATTCTTGTAAAAGTGTTTCTTTTTGTATCGAATTCTTTTTTCTCCAATATCCTACTAGGACTTCAGACTTTTAGCTATCAATAAACATTGATTATATTGCTCAGTGATATCGATTTTATTCAATCAATCGTTGTGTATCATGTAGAATTTGATGTATCATGTAGGCACAAAGATCAGAATATGTCTCCTTTTATCACGTCTTGCTGGTGACAATTTGCGCGAAGAAATATGACAGCGAATATATCTGATACAGAACGTTATTTCGCCTAACGCTTATGACATCCTGATTGAAAGTTTAAGCATCTCAACTTTCTCTGCACGACCTCGTCCAGAGACATGCCCCTCGCGCCACTTGACTTATTCGCATCCATGTACATCGCATGGAACTAAAGTCACTTGTTTAATTCGCATTAATGCAATATGCATAAAATACTTATTTATTTATTAACATTTTTATTAATTTTTGCTAAAATTTAACATGACATATTAATACATTTTAATATTGGATATTAGATTACTCAGTGTTTGTATTTACACTTTCTTTCTACAGACAATTGTCATATCCATGATGTAGAAAAAAAAGAACAAAACAGTAGTAGTAGGAATACTTTACTATTGATTTTTTATGTGCCTATCTCTTTAACATTGAGATAATATCATCGTTTCATTAAAATTAATGTTATTAAGTCTTAGTATACAGATTGGGTCATTCGTATCCTAAGCGTTTCTTTTTTTTAAATACCACAAATACTTTACTAATTAATGGTTTAAGTATCGTACATACACTTTATAAAGTACGTATATGTTGGAATTATTTAATAATTTTTGTATACTTGTAAGAGTGATAAAAATTAATCGGGAACACGAACGACTCATTGTGCAGTAAAGGAAAATCATCTATTAAGAATCAATAAGCGTTATTAGACGCTCTAAAAAATTCTCAAATGTTATATTTATAAATTTACACGATAAATATATATATATGTATATATAGTGTAAATAAAATATATGTTATGAAATATATGTTATTAAAAAAGTCTAATGAAGTGAGACATTTTTAAGTATTAAAAATTGTATTAAATATAAGCAGAAATGTACAATGCTTTCCAGTACAAAAATCAATCATGTACATTATGGATATGATTATTAGTTCCATAGTACAATACATTGTTGTTTTAAAACAAACGTACCGTTTGTATAATTGGCGACTGTATCGGTCGAATCGTAATCGGCAATTTTTACTGGAAAGATCGCGAGCAGGGAAGCGCGGACTCTCTTACCCAGATACCTACATAATGTCGCTTCGTCGCGAACGGAACAAGTTCGACTTCTCGGTTGCACGGGTTAGCTTAGGTTCGCCGAGGTGCTTGTTAGGGCGGACCGGGCGAGCCGGAGGTGTGTATGGGAATTGCGGGTCGTGCTCATTAATTATATCAGACGTGATCTATCTGGACCACGGCTGTGGTTGCGCGGTCGCTGGAGAGTCACCACGTGCACTCCAATACGGGCGTCGTGCATCGGCGGCCACGCTGTTTTGCTGGAGTCTCTCAAGAGGCAGAATTGTAACAAGTCCAACTAGTACCTCTGGTTAATTTACCTTTTACATTGCCCGATCCGGTAATGTTCTCCTTTGTTTTGTACTCTTTCTTATACCGTGCCTTCATTATCAAAAATCAAATTATATATTTGAGAAATCAAACCGTATCGTACTCTCTAAATCCTTTGGAATGGAATCTTACTGTAAAGAATGAAAATTGGGTCAGTCTTGAAAAAGAGTAGTTTAATTTTCAATCTTTAAGAATGAGAGAGATTTCACACTTCAGAGTGAGATTCACTCTAAAACTTTTCGAGAGTATATGATATTTATTTAAAATGAAAAAATGACTGCTGTAACATTTTAATTTTACCGCGTATAACTGTAAGTAACAGTTAGATTTCCAGACACACACGATTCTATACGTTCGAAATCGATCATCTGACGTTTGGCTACAATTCAAAGTAATCAGTAATCATCTACATATAGCGGGACCCGGTTTTACTGGCGGGCGAGCTGACGCGCCTCGCGGAAGTCCCATGGGTGCGTGCGAGTTTATTCCACTTGTCTCTAGACGAGCGACAGAGAAGTCTCGAGGCGGTGTATAGCGGAGCTCCGTGAGTGAGCACCAAGTGGTATCCGCGCAGTGGTTGCGTTTACACCAACATTAGCTCGGGCGCGAGTTGACGTTCGTCGTGTCCACGAATACGCGGCGTACGCATACACGCCATGCAAGTACATACGCTCGCAAGCGGCGTGTGTACGCACACGTACATTACAGGGAGGAGTGAATCTGGCCGGTCGACCGGTGTCGATCGCCGCTGAAACGCTACCCGATCATCAGTCGAGAAAGTGTAGCTGCGGAAAATGATTACCCGCGCGCCGCGCCAGTTGTGCTCGCTGCGCACACCCGCTTTCCTCCGTCTTTTTGTCGAGTCCTCACTCTGTTACTCTCCTTTCGCTCCTCCTTTCGCTCTATTCCTTCTTGCGAGAGAGCCTCTCCTTTAAAACACGCATCTATACGGAGTGTCTTGACATTTGCGATATATATCCTGATGATGGCTCTTCAAGTTTATTGGGGAAACGAAGATTTCTTTTTAAAACTTGATGAGAGACTGCAACTTTTTTTTGTATTAAATATCTTGAAAAGTAAGTTGCTCGAGAATAATTTTTGTAATCCATTGGTACTTGTTTACCCTTGAAGTTTGATCACTAGTATTCTTTAAATTTCTTTAAGAGTTTTCAAGAAGTTTGAAAATTATGCTTTTATGTTAAAGAAACTATTTTTTTCATTTGATATTTGGTATTCACTATTAATCTATTCAATACTAAGTTCGCAACACCCCGTATATCTACGTTCCATTACCTTCACATCGGATTATAGATTAAACCGCACCTCCAGCGTAGACGCACAGAAAACGATAAGCGGAGAATACGGCGCGGGATTTATTGTAATTGGCGGTAATGACGGTTTTACGCCGCCGCCGCCGCCGCCGCCGCCACCAACAACCACTATACTCTTCTCTTAGCTATGCTCTTCGTCAATATGTACGGTCGTAAGTCAGGAAAACCGATTGCGAACGCACGCGCTCGCACTCATACTTGATAGGCTTTAAAGTTAGAAAGGGTAGATACCGTTGCTCTTTGCGCATTCTAGCGAATCTAACAAAGCTACATAACACTTGAAGGATAAGTAGAGTTAACGTGGATTATTTAAATAGTATATATTTTCTGAAACGATTCCTTCGTGGATTGACGGATGAGAGATGGATCTTTTTGTAAAATTATTTTGCCATGAAGAAAAAAAGGATGCTTCTATTGCTACAGGAAAGTCAAGGATCACTTAAAGTGTCGTTTATGAGACATTTAAAACATTTTAATCTATAGCTTTAATATCTCAATAGTTTCCGAACAAGTATTTATTAAAAATCGATTCTATTTTAATTAATTTATTTATTTATTAACTTATAATAGAAAAGATATAATTTAGCATTTTTGAAATATTTTGATAAACTCTCCTTTAACTCTTTTCGTTAAAATCTGTTCGCTGTTAAAATTTCGTGAAACAAAGTGCGATATCGAAATCTTTCATACTTGGCAACATCACTTGCAGAAAATTATAGTAATATTTTTTTTGTCATCCAAATCACAAGGTATATTTTTACAAGGGTTCTACGTCTCGAAAACAAGGAAGGTGAAGATCGTGACAACTTTTTTACGTGATATTTCGTTCGCCAAGGCAAAGGTAATGTACCACAAACCGATATAGGTTTACTGAGTCTCTTCTCGTGCTCTCCAAGTCTCCATCGTTGTTGTTGTTGTTGTGTTTTTTTCCCTCCCCCTCCCTCTCCCTGATAATTTAGCACGGCGTTTATGTTCATCTGTGAAAGATGGATTGTCCTCTCGCAGAAAAATAAGGATGAGAGTGAGGGGAAGAAGGAGAAACAGGTTACAGGAGGAAAAAAATAACATGTAGTGCATCCTTCTTTGTCATCCAAAATCCTTTTTATGCTGTCTTTTTTTATTAACCCTCAACCTCATAAATCTCGTCTTCTAACCACACCAGAATTAATATCTTATTTTTTTCTCACCTTGTAATATGCTTATATCTCGCAATATCCAATTTCACAAT